CCTGTGCCAACGTGATGGTACTCGGTCTGCGCCTGCATGCGAACGATTCTAGACAGCCAGGACATGCTAGAGAACCTTTTCTTGAGTTTTGACTACAAACACTTTCGCGATCGCTATTGAGGAACAGCAACGAGTCAGAAGAAACTATGCTATATTACGGAACTTATGCGTGATATGGATTTTGGGGTAACCTACGAACGATAGTACGTCTGCTGGATCCAATTGTTGCTGCGCTGCGAGCTTTAGAAGCGAACAGTGTCTTTGTTTCGTCGGTATACAGATGGTTCCGCTGGTTGCGTTATCACTCTGCTTACGGTGTGTCATCGCCCAGGGAGGAAGAGCGGCTCAGATAATCGGTGGGTACGCATGCCGACCACGAAGAACAAGAATCCAGTGAGCAAGATCAGGATGGAATCGAGCTACTGAGTAGCACCACTGAGAATGTAGCCTCTATTCGACCCACTGACGATAGTTTGCCTCCAGACGACGAACGACTGCTTGTCGGAGGTGGGTATGGAAAAGCTACACCGCTCCCGCTTGGCGATCTTCAAACCTGCTTCCGTGAAAGGATCAAGCATCGTTGGACGTATGTTCACACAAATGCGATGGGTATCGAGTTCATGCTCGATCCTGCAGCAAATCTTGACGACTTTGTTGGTAGTGACGACGATACAGTGGACGGCCAAGTGTGCAAAATGTCGGAGTGTTGTGGTTTGCTCACGCCAACCATATCCCCAAACTGACCGCCGAGATCCTTGCGTTCAAAAGTGATAAACGTCGGGGAGGTGAAGTTCTTCGGACGAAGTACTCAGAGTCGAGTCCGCTGGATTACTGGAGTGCTAAGAGCGAAAAGATATATCCAATGCTGAAGAAGATTGCCGAGGTCGTATTCACAATTCCCACTTCATCTGCTGCGAGCGAGAGAGCCTGGAGCATATTCGATCACATTCACTCCAAGCAAAGGAACAGGCTCTCAGTAGCCAAGGTTGAGATGTTGACATATATTTACATCAACCACGGTACAATCCAAAGCGATACAATCAACCTTGCGCGACACCAGTCCCGCCCAGGGAGCGCTGACTATTAATCTTGGATTAATAGAGTTTTATTTGCTCAGTTTGCTGTCGCTCAGCCGTATTGTAGTCGAAACTCTTGGATACGAGAAAATAGAGCTAATCATACCAGCACTTACAGCCTCCACTACCTCTCCAGCCATCGATGCGGCGCTATCCCTGCTTCAGTCGGTCGTACCAGTGCTGCTCACGACTGAGGCGCAATTGGCTAGCAGAGCCTCCAAGCTGTCCAGTGCAGCTATAGTATGACGAAACAAAGCACGTTGCTCAGCAGCAGTGACAGCGCATCGCTCTGACAATAGATAAGGATAGTATCTGTGTACACGTAGAACCTGGCCCAGCATAGCAGCCCCACGAGCGCCGCGTGGGTATCGGGGATGACCACCTCCACCTTCAGTCGCTGCGCTATCGGCTGTTGAGACGGATTCTCGTACAGCAATGAGCTCGTGTTGCCTACGGGCGACGCGTTGTCTGTTCTTGCTTTTCTCTGTGTTTTGCCCAACGTCGTCTTGTTGGAGGGGGCACTCGAGATGATGTGGGCGTGCCGCTGCAGCACCAGGGATACTCAAAATACAATATAATACAACTGCTTGCCGTGCGGTGAAATACATAATGAGACCAGAGCAAGGAAATAAATAATTGCAATTGTGGTGAGGCAGACAGTAAATTATTTCATGCCAAGCGTGCTAGCCTTCTACTTCTCTAAACACGCATCCACTGTCGCCACATCCCAGAAGCCTCCATTAACCTTCAGAAAGAGAATCATTTCGAGAGTCATAGGCGACAACCTGTGTCGCTCATGTCGAACCACGGCACGAGAGATACTGAAAAGCCTCTCTACTCGATTCGACGTAGGTGGGATAGCTGATAGGAGCTTGTAGGTCGATAGATTGGCAACAAGTTTGCGTCGTTTTTGGATTTGATCAGCAAACCCTTCCTTTGCGGTAGAACTCGTCACTTCTGCTGCTCAAAGCCTCCGCTGGCACACGAATGGTTCCAAAGCTCTGGCCTCCTCGTTCGTCAACAAGCCCGCATCACCTGCCAGCACCTTAACAACCGTTGCTTCAAACACAGGCGAGTGCACAATTTCGGCATCAGGCGTTGTTGTCGCACAAAAAAGCAAGATATTAGTATCTCTCCGTCACAATAGTTTATAGAAAGCACTAACAAAGATAGATGATCATTGAGGGCCTCAATTCCAACAGGCCGTCAAACAAAGCGCGTGCATCGAGCAGGGTTAACTCGTCCCCCTGTAATTTCTTGGAAATCGATTCGATGCACCGCAACTTCGACAAGAGATCCTCCAGCTTACGATGATCTGCTCTTGACGGTAGAGATGATGTAGTATTGTGAGGCTGGATCGAGGCATCAACTTGCTAGACACGAGCGTAAACTTAAAATGGCAGCAGTGCCAGCGAAGCATTTCCAGCGTTTGGATGGCTAAACTGACCAAACGGTTTTGGCGCCAAGGTTCGCGCCAATTTCGAATCAAGTGGTCTTCGCTTAATCAGTACATTTGCCTGTATGTTTCGATTACAAATAAAATGTACCGTATCGTCTTATTCATTGGCGACAAGGGGCAGACAGAGAGTGTAACGAGGCTATTCTTCAAATCCTAAGATTAAAACAATACATAATGGGCATTTACCGGAAAGATAAACACAGCAATCTATATTATGAAGTACTTGTCTTCATTCTCACTCTCACCCTCAATACCGCTGCTTTTATATTCGAGTCTCTAGCACACTATTTAATGATAAGTTGCTGCTTTGACCGGCGCTCCTTACCAGTTAAAGTGCCGTAGAAGTAGTCCAACACCTCATTAGGCGTGTGACCGGCTTGTATGTAGTTGATACTGTCTTGCTTGTGGCCAAATTCGACACGTACGCGCTATGTATTGTTTGCGCTTCTTCTTCGTTCCCTTGATGGTGGGAAGTGCCATCCTGATTGGGATGTGGCCTAGATA